CGCGGCTCCGGCTGCTGCCTGACCGGCAAATGACGAGGCACAGCTGAGAAATGTCATCTGCTAAAATGTTCCGTACCCTAGTGAAGCCCCAAATTTAAGCTAAAATAGCGCTGAAACAAGGTTGAAACTTATTAAGTTGCTTAAGAACGAAACGCACCTGCTCAGCTGTGTCAGCGCGCGGCTTTTTTTTTTTCCCTCCGGGTATTTCCTAGTCTTGCTAACAAGTTGTTGGTCATCCGCACACAATATCATCTGCAGAAGCCTGTTCGCAACACCAGTGTAATAACTGTATGATGAGTGGAATAAGCTAGAACATGAAGAACAAAAATGGTAATAGGGATATTAGATCTCGGTTTAACCGTGTGGGAAATAACCTAAAGGAACCAGGGCTTCAATAGGAGTCGCCACCCCTGTCTGTGACCGGTCAAATGAATGTTTCTGCGCTCCAAGTCCTAAAAAAACTCATATTCATGCACATGATGAGAGCCAGAATGATACAGGGAACGATACAGGAATGGCTATGATGGAAGTCCTTAAATGAGGACTTTATCTTTCTGAAATTGGAGACTTTGATACATGTGTAGTATACTGGCTCCCTGTTCTTATTTGAAGCTTGTAACTCCTAAAGAAATATAAGTCAAACCCATAAGTTTTCATTTACTTTCTCCTAAGCCAAACCAAATGCTGTTTGTCACTGCCAGTTGATGCAGGACATGCGCATCTAGAGATAGGACTGAAATTACTATCTCCATGGCCAGTCTGATGTCTGACAGCCACCTTCTTCATATTTTTAGCACTTACCTGGAAGAAATGAAGTCATAGCCTACAAGTTGATTTACGCAGTAAATAATTTAAAAATAATTTTGAAGATAGCTACTATAGTTTTCATTTTTCAGGAATTGATTTTAATATACAGTATGGACTTTAATACATTCAGATGCAAGGTTGTCTAGGAACAGAGACTGCACATGTAAGTTGCAGGATAGAAAATGTCTGCCTAGTGGAAAGCTTTACCACTGAGAAGGGCTTTTGATGTAATAACTGACAACTGAAAATATCTGGCGCCCCACTGCCATTTGTAGCATAAGCAGTTTGCATGGGCCCACCTCTCCAGCCTGTCCAGGTCCCTCTGGATGACATCCCTTCCCATCCCTTCCCTCCAGCGTGTCAACCACACCACACAGCTCGGTGTCATCGGCAAACTTGCTGAGGGTGCGCTCAATCAATGTCGCCAACAAAGATGTTAAACAGCTCCAGTTCCAACACCAACCCATGAGGAGTGCCACTTGTCACTGGTCTCCACTTGGACATCGAGCCATTGACCACAACTCTTTGAGTGCGACCGTCCAGCCAATTCCTTATCCACCAAGTGGTCCATCCATCAAATCCATGTCTCCAGTTTAGAGACAAGGATATTCTCAAACTGTAAATAATACTAATTCTTAAGAGGATTTTTTGTGGCAAGTGGGGTTGCGGTATACTGCCTTGTAAGTAGCACTTGCTATATTAGCTGTCATTCTGGAAGAATTTGAAACTGTGCAGATCTGTTCTCACACCATTTCCAGCTACATGTCCCTCTCTTGTACTCTCGTTGTGTAGAGATAAGGCTAAAGAGAGATCTGTTTTTCTGACTTGACTCCTTCTCCTATGAACTGCTGGGGAAGTGAACCTCCTTTGCCTCTCAGGCTTTGTGCATATGTGGGCTCCAACAGTGTGCAAGGCATCAATAAAGCTTGCGCTACTGTGTGTGAGAAATAAGCCATAGCTTTGTTTGGGGCCTGTATTTGCAGTTCATTAGCGTGACTTGTTCTGCTCTAGCATCTGCACAGAGCTTGGAATACATCTAACACTTAAAGCTGTCTTGGTGCAGCGTGCATCTGATTGGCGTGCACCTCGTATCTCAGTTTTGGCCTTTGTTGCACAAACCTCCTTACTGAATCTCTGAGGAGTTGTCGGAAGCACTTTGCACTGAGCTACAGGGAAGTCCAGAAAGGCAATATAGCAGGAGAGCAAATTAACACAGTCATTTGATCTGACATTGAAATCTCTGCTTTGACTTGGATGGATCAAACCTTCCTGCAGTATAGGGCCACCACTACAAGTGGCAGAGATTTTATAACAATAAGAATTCACAGAGTAGCCACACCTGTAGAGTTTTAACATGAAGGGATTGGAATCCCAATATATGGCATTAAAGCAATAGAATTTGAATAGGAACTCTCAGGAAAAAATTAAAACATCTAAGTGAGATTTAGAAACTTCTGTTGGAAATCTTTTGGGATATTTTGCATAGTGGTGCTGCTGTCTCGCCTTATGAGTAACTCATATTTAGATAAAAATGACAACACAGAGACATTCAGGCTGATGAGATCAAATTGGGTCATAGTGTAGAATAAAAATTTATCTGTCAAATGACTTCATGTTACAGGCAGAACCAAAGTACTAGATCCCCCGTGTAATACATAATTAATGAAAACACAGAGGTAAAATGATAAAATATTTTGAACAGAATGTTTTTGCATATTACAGTAGGCAATTCTAACCTCTCAAGAAGATTTGATGAGATTTGTGAAGATGAGTAAAAATGTATGATCACTAAAACAAGAATTATTATTTAGGTGACAGACAAGCACAATTATATATTTCTCAAGCAATAACAAGACAAGAATTCAGGATACACTGGAAGTACAATTCATTTTCTATTTCTGTACAATTCAAGATGTGTTTCACTGTAACATCTTAATCGGTGACCAGGACAGTTGGACAGAATGCATCTTTATCAGGCTTGCAGATGCCACCAAAATGGGGGAGCAGTCAACACACTGGGGAGTAGGATTTTTATTCAGAGCAACCATGTCTTGTCTTAGCAGGCTTAGCTAAGGGAATCTGTTGGGGGGGGGGGTTTACACACTATTTTGAAGCCTGTAACAATTCAAGCCATGCCTCCAGAACTGTATTTGGTTAAAAGGTTCTGGTTATGAATGCCCAATCTGAGTTTTCTGTCTGTTTTAATGTTTGTGGGTAATCCATGAAGCAACTCTTTGTTCTCAATATGCCAGAAGTGCAGGTGTGTTGTAAGGAGTATGAAAGGCATTCTTCCAAAATTAATTTTAAATTTAGTGACCGAAAGGGAAGAAGCAGCGAGGAAACAATTTTGCATGAACGTAACAGTGGACATTAAAGTGTGTTAATGTGCTGGCATTTTGTTGCCATTAAGGACTTGGTTTATTTGCTTATAATCCCATATGGCAATACTTTATAGCCTCATGTACCCTTAATTGCATGGTTCTGTAAGTGTTTTGTGGCTGGTAAAATTGGTCACCTCTGTTCAAAAGAAGCAGTTCTTACTAGTGTTACTCACTGGATGAGGAACTCTCAGTCTTCCATATTGAGAACAGACAAGATTCTGTGATTTTTCTTAGGGAGAGAGAAGCAGCTGATATTAGCATCTCTCTGCTATTCGGAGGAGCTAGCATTTCAACATTGAACATGATGCAGCTGGAATGAAATTTTAAGGATAGGAGAGATCTAAGGACTGTTTGGAAAGGGAGAAAAAAAAGGCATACAAATACTCTCTTTTTCACCTCTAGCTTTGAAAGAAAATAATCTATAAAATCTGCCAAAATCATTCACTGGGAATGATTTTGCCTCCACGGGAGCCAGTCTGTGTTGCCAGACTCAACCACAATTCCAGGACATGAGTTCCTGTTGATCCTGATCAGATAGATACTGAGCTATATACTATTACTTAAACCATATACTCACCCGAGTAAGCATAGGAACTCACAGCTAAATTATCACTTTTTGTTTTGGCTTGCACTGTAGGATTTACTTTTGTGTTGCAAGCAGAATTACTCAGGCGCCAATACTTGTCCCCTGGCACAGATAATGTCCTGCCAGATGGAAAATCTGTCAACATTTGTTTAGGTAATAAAGTCTTTACAAATATTTGGGTCATTGCCATAGTTGTTTGGCACACACCGCGGAAAATGTAGAAGCTTCACTCATGCATAAGGATTCATCTGCTTATACTACAGTTTAAGGGTTGAACAGTCATTATGAGAAAAGGAACACTCTAGATGTTCTTATAGCCTTGAATTACATGAAAATTGTGAGCAAATGCACTCAGAGATTCATATAGATATAAACCAACTGATTTGGGTCTTTATTTTAACTTTTTTTTAGAATAGCTAAGTGCCCAGCCAAAAGCCTTAGGTGCATTGCCATCTTTTAGAAACTTGTCCAAAAAGATACTACAGAAATGCTCATCTGGAGCTCAGCTTAATTTTAAGACTCCTTGTATTTGCAATTTATGACTTGAGCCGTAGGGAGATTTTTCTAAAAGATTTCTGATTCCACATCCAGCTACGCACATAGTGAAAGCTGCCTTGAATAACAATAAAGGGATTTGTATCTGTTTAGGCTACCTCTTTTCACAAAGTGTGCAGGAACTGAGTTATCTTTCAACTAAAGCCTTCTGTCACATTCTGCTAATGTTGACCAGATTTTACTAGGAGACCACATGGAGCGATAAAACATAGGGTTTTTATTTTTTCTTCCCAGGAAAGTGAGGCAAATATTGAGACTGACATACAGAAATAATCAGATTTAGAATGAAAAGTAGTGGGTTTATGACAAGGAGGCAATGGTCTCCTCATTATTTAATGGTTATCTCCTCTTACTAGAGATTGTGTTCCAGTGCACAAGAAGAGATTTATGTGTGTGGTTTAACCCCAGCCAGCAGCTCAGCACCATGCAGCCGTTCGCTCACTCCCCCCAGGTGGGAGAGAATTGGAAGGGTAGAAGTGAGAAAATTTGTGGGTTGAGATAAAGAAAGTTTAACAGGTAAAGCAAAAGCCATGTGCACAAGCAAAGCAAAACAAGGAATTCATTCCCCACTTCCCATGGCAGGCAGGTGTTCAGCCATCCCCAGGAAAGCAGGGCTCCATCACGCGTAATGGTGACCAGGGAAGACAAACGCCATCACTCCAAACGTCCCCTATTTCCTTCTTCTTCCCCCGACTTTATATGCTGAGCATGACTTCATACGGTATCCCTTTGGTCTGCTGGGGACAGCTGTCCTGGCTGTGTGACCTCCCAACTTCTTGTGCACCCTCAGCCTACTTGCTGGTGGGGTGAGGAGCAGAAGAGGCCTTGACCCTGTGTAAGTACTGCTCAGCAATAACAAAAACATCTCTATGTTATCAGCACTGTTTCCAGCACAAATCCAAAACATAGCCCAGTACTAGCTGCTATGAAGAAAATTAACTCTATCCCAGCCAAAACCAGCAGAATATGATCAGATGTGTTACTAAGCAGATGGATTGTTTGCCATTGTACAACCTGGAGCTTTTATCATGCCATTATTAGTAGATCTAATTTGTTGTCATCATCAAGCCTGAAAGGCATGATTATTATGTATCATCCTGCTCAATTGTTCACTGATAGGGTAAGATGCTCTTTCAGCCACTTAAAATGGAAGCAGGCGGTTTTGCTACAATTACTTGATAGAAATAGGAGTTGGAAAGGACTTAGCTGACCTAAAAGTACTGAATGCTTTCTTAAGCACTTAAGCATCTTAAACATCACTCATCTGGATTCTTTTCCATCTTTTCTATTTTCCATATTCATTTCCACTAAGACACTAAAAATTATAATACTTGTGATCAAAACACTGAGTGGCAAAGACTGAATTATATCGTTATATTGCTGGCCTTTGGATAGCCTTGCCAGATCTTTTCATGACTTCAAAGACATTGACTAGCAGAGGGACAGAGGACTACAACTCATAGGAGTCTTCAGATGAGACCTTTGAAGATGCAGGAACATTTACTTGTAGTTACTTGCTATCTTTCTGTGACCTGAGAAGGAGCCAGTGCTGTTTCACAATGGTTGAAATTGCCCCCTAAAACATCTGTTGGTCTGGACTCTCTGCCAGACTAGCAAGTTCTGCTTACCTAGCCCTGCAACACTGGTAGCTTACAGTAGAGGCTTTTTATAACTGGCTTTTAAATTATGTTATGTAGATAACCGCTAATCTTAGAAGTGACTATCCTGGGCTTTCTGTTATCTCCAGTATTTTCTTAGTTTGGTCAAAAAATTATGTTTGGAAAGAGTTATAATTTCATACCATAGTAGGGTATAAGAGATTATGTTTCATGTGTGCTGTGCGCGGTTGTCAGCCGAGAAAGTAGTGTTCTCTCATGCCCAAGTAGTGACCGTGGCTCTAAATATTTCTGTGAATTTATACTCTGTAGCTAATTCACTTCTGGGCATAGTATATTTAGCATCTATTAACAGAAAAATCAAAGGTTTTGATTATCAGTTTCTTTTGGGGACATGATAAATACTGAATGATCCACCAAGTTCTAATAGTTTTCTTGACACTTTTTATCGTACAGGTTCATAGCCAAGAACATTACGAGGCTGCAGCGTCTGGGGATAACCCATGTTCTGAATGCAGCAGAGGGGAAGTCATTCATGCATGTGAACACTAATGCAGAGTTCTATGAAGGCACAGGCATCAGATACCACGGCATTAAAGCTAACGATACGCAAGAATTTAACCTCAGTCGCTATTTTGAGGAGGCAGCTGATTTTATTGAGAAAGCACTTTCCCAGAAGGATGGTAAGGCAAACTGAAATATCTTTCTACCACATTTTCTGTGCACTGTATACGTTTCTTAGCAATTTATTTTACTGTTTAAAATGGTTCTTTGCTCAGATTGTCAGCTGTACAGCCAATTCACGAATTCAGATGAGAATTCACAGACCCAGAATACACAGTAAGACATCTTAACCTTCTGTCTATACATGTAGGCCTCCAGTATATGGCAAGTAGAAGTCTGTCACTTTAGGGGTGACTTTGAAAAATGAAACAGCCGCTGCATCCTATAATAGTGCCTTTCTGGGAAGATGTGTTCTTATTTTTCCTTAGAAGTGGTAAGTCACTTGAAAAAATAAAAAAAAATAACTTCAGGATCTAAAAGTTGGTTTAGGGCAGTAGAAATTATAAATTAAAGGCAGAAGTGATAGAAGTAATGCATTGCTGAAAGGTACTCACACAACCTGCTATATGTTGGGTTTTTTCCAAATGGTTCAGTAAAGATAAAGACTGCGGCCTTACAATTTTTATTACCTTAAGTCATTAAATTATTTTATGTGATGATTACCTCATTATTCCTTAGGATTACAGGAAGGCTGGGGATGGTATTTGCAATATTGTCGATTGCCACATTTCTCTACAGTGTGGTTCCTCAGAGCAGAAATCCTAGGACATAGTGCAGTGGGCCAGATGGTGTTTATTGCTGACTATTTCAGCATACCAGTTATTTCTACACATGCTTAATTTCTTTCTTGCTTCATGAATGAACGTGAAAAAGGTGGAATGAACTCCCGCAATTCTAGAAGTTCTTTCTCTGAAATGGACAAAAGGGGTACTAGAGCTGGGACGTGCTTTTGACAGATGGAAAGAAATTTTACCTCTAGTTTGATGAAGTATGAAAAATTCTGAAAATTGAAATGCGACTCTTCCAGTTAGCATTGTGACTCACTGAAACAGGTTGCAGTAGTAAAGATGAGTTTAACAGTGCCAGCTGCCGGTGACTGTCCCTACTCAGTTTGATCTAAGCAGTTGCAGAGTCAATCTGAATTACGGTTCTATTTGCTGATTCTTTCAGTCTTAGTAGTTGTCTACTACGCCTGCCACTGTTTTCTTACTGTGGTAAACAAGGAGGAACTTTGTAGCTGGATAATGCTGGAGCCAGTTTTAAAATTAACTCGCTACTGAAATTTGATAGTTTTGTTTGACATTGAAGTGTAGACTAAGGACAGTGAAGTGAAGAGCGATGCAGTCGTATGTTCCTTAAATTTCATTTTAGCATTGTAGTTGCATGAAGTTCTGGAAGGCAGGTCTGGTATACTAAAGGTCTGGAAGGCAGCCCTTAAGACACTGCCTTTCACAGGGCAAGGCTGGAAACCCTTTTGCTTCTGATCATTTGCAGAGGGTAAGTGTCGTGGTTTAACTCGAGTCAACAACTGAGTACTGCACAGCTGCTCACTCACTCCTCCCCCAGCGGGATGGGGGGGGAGAATTCAGAAGGGTAGAAGTGAGAAAATTTGTGGGTTGAGATAAAGAAAGTTTAACAGGTAAAGCAAAAGCCATGTGCAAAAGCAAAGCAAAACAAGGAATTCACTCCCCACTTCCCATGGCAGGCAGTGTTCAGCCATCCCCAGGAAAGCAGGGCTCCATCACGCGTAATGGTGACCAGGGAAGACAAACGCCATCACTCCAAACGTCCCCTATTTCCTTCTTCTTCCCCCGACTTTATATGCTGAGCATGACTTCATACGGTATCCCTTTGGTCTGCTGGGGACAGCTGTCCTGGCTGTGTGACCTCCCAACTTCTTGTGCACCCTCAGCCTACTTGCTGGTGGGGTGAGGAGCAGAAGAGGCCTTGACCCTGTGTAAGTACTGCTCAGCAATAACAAAAACATCTCTATGTTTTCGGCACTGTTTCCAGCACAAATCCAAAACATAGCCCAGTACTAGCTGCTATGAAGAAAATTAACTCTATCCCAGCCAAAACCAGCACAGGAAGTCAGTTCTCTTCCACAGGTATGATACAGAATCTCTAAATCTTGCTAATTTATGGCTATGGGCTCTCAAGAAATGTTGGGAATTAATTGTTTTAGCTGTTTAACTTGCTGCTGATTAGAATTTGCCTTGAGCTGTGAAGCTTCTGCAGCTCAAGGCAAATGTGGTAAGAGGCTTTCTGTTGCTGTGGTTCAAAGCAAGTTGTGGTTATGATGAAAATGTATGCGTATAGTTCATCTGTTCACTTAGAAAAAAATTTACTCTGGAGAGTAGGCTGGGTCCATATCTCCCAGTGCATTTGGGAGGGGGAAAATTTTTGTGTCTGGAAAAGCAGGTCAAAGAGGAAGCAGCTGAGATGCAATAAAATCAAGTTAGATTTCTCAAAGGGAGCAGTGGCCTGCTTTATTATTGTTGGGTACCTACCTACAGGATCTACCCATGTGGTGGGTTAAGCTTGGCTGGAGGCCAGGTGCCCACCAAGCTGCTGTATCACTCCACCACTGGACAGGGGTGAGAAAAATACGATGAAAGGCTCATGGGTTGAGATAAGGGCAGGGAGATTACCGTCAGCAATTACCGTCACAGGCAAAACAGACTCAGCTTGGGGAAATTAATTTAATTTATTACCAATCAAATCAGAGTAGGATAATGAGAAATAAAACCAAATCTTAAAACACCTTCCCCTACTCCTCCCTTCTTCCCGGGTTCAACTTCAGTCCTGATTTTTTTCTACCTTCTCCCACCCAGCAGCACAAGGGCACAGGGAATGGGGATTGCAGTCAGTTCATCACACGTTGTCTTTGCCGCTCCTTCCTCTGCAGTCTCTTCCCCTGCTCCAGCGTGGCAATCCACTCATGGGTGATAGCCCTCCACAAACTTCTCCAGCATGGGTTCTTGCCATGGGCTTCAGCTCTTCAATAACTGCTCCAGCATAGGTCCTTTCCATGGGGTGCAGTCCTTCAGGAACAGACTGCTCCAGCATGGGCTCCTCTTCATGGGGTCACAGGTCCTACCAGGAACGTGCTCCAGTGCGGGCTCTCCACAGGGTTACATCCTCCTTAGGCTGCAGATTGGTATCTGCTCCACTGTTAACCTCCATGGGCTGCAGAGGGACAGCCTGCCTCCCCGTGGTCTTCATAGAATCAGAGAATGGTTTGGGTTGGAAGGGACCTTAAAAATCATCTAGTTCCAACCCCCCTGCCATGGTTGCTCAAAGCCCCATCCAGCCTGGCCTTGAATGCTTCCAGGGAGCCAGGGGCAGCCACAGCTTCTCTGGGCAACCTGTGCCAGGGACTCACCACCCTCACAGGGAAGAATTTCTGCCTCAGATCTCATCTCAATCTGCTGTCCTTCAGTTTAAAGCCATCCCCCATTGTCCTGTCACTCCCTGCCCTTGTCAACAGTCCCTCTCCAGCTTTCCTGTAGCCCCTTTAGGGACTGGAAGGGGCTCTCAGGGCTCCACAGAGCCTTCTCTTTTCCAGGGTGAACAACCCCAGCTCTCTCAGCCTGTCTTCACAGGAGAGGTGCTCCAGCCCTCTCATTGTCTTTGTGGCCCTCTTCTGGACTCATTCTTAACAGCTCCAGCGTTTTTTTCCCCTTCTTAAATATGTTATCATGGAGGTGCTACCACCATCACTGATGGGCTCAGCCTTGGCCAGCGGCGGATCTGTCTTGGAGTCGGTTGGCACTGGCTCTGTCAGACCTGGGGGAAGCTTCTGGCATATTCTCACAGAAGCCACCACTGTAGCCCCCGCCCCTGCTACGAAAACTTTGCCGGGCAAGCCAAATACAACATAACAAATCAGTTAGCTGGAAACATTTTATTGGTGCTGGCATAGGTGTGATTAGATGTTTCTGGTTCTTCTCGCTGCACAGTCAGCAGTTTCATGTACTTGAGAGTTAATGTGGCTTCATGAACAGCCAGAGAAGTGGCCAGGTATGATCCGACATGGAATTCCCATTAGCATAGGAATTGTCAGCAGTGCACCAAAAAGGCTGGATGTCTTTGAAGAGATGCAGTATCTGACAAACAGCACGTTTCTCTGTTTTCAGTGTAATTTAAACTTTGGATCCTATATTTGTGCTCTTTGGTACTGGTCATCTTTAGGGACAAGGCTTATTCTAAATCACAGAAGATTAATGTGGTAAATAGACACAGTTTGACTGTTTGTGATATAGTACCAAATACGTTTTAGTGTGAATGTTTGATATACAACCAGTTTTTCCTGTATTATCCTTGATGACAGACTGTGTAGCTATTAACAGAGTGATAGCACCTTTTTTCCAATTCTACATGTCTTCTGTAGCATTCAGAATTTACATTTCTCAAGCTGCTGAAGGACTACTACTATTGTGCTTTATATCCTAGCTATCTCATGTTGCTTTTCAAACATATATTCCAGTATAACCCAAATTATGACCTGTCTTCCCTGCAGGACAAGTGTTTGTGCATTGCCGTGAGGGCTACAGCCGTTCTCCTACACTGGTCATCGCCTACCTCATGCTTCGCCAGAATATGGATGTCAAGTCTGCATTGAGCACTGTCCGGCAGAAGCGAGAGATTGGCCCCAATGATGGCTTTCTAAGGCAGCTTTGCCAGCTCAATGAGCAATTAGTGAAGGAGGGCAAACTGAAGCCCTAGTACAGAGCACCGTAGTATTTTTTGAAGTTTCTCAAACCATGAGAGGACACCTTAGGTGCTTTAGATTCCCAACCCCTAACCACCAAGCTAAATCACATAATGTGAGGGAGACAGAATTCCTGCTCTTGTCTAGTGAAAGTATCTTTCTCGAACTCTGGATCTGTCTTTCAAGATGACACTTAATTGTGTCACTGTTCGGAGCTGTTGCAATAAAGAGGTGTTTTTAAGAGGGGTAACTCCAGTGATAACACCTGTCTTCACATGTATTTCAGAGCCCCCTGCAGACTCTCTAGCATATGTGGCTTGCATCGACATTGAGTGTGATTCATTAAAGCCTTGTCTTGTATCCCACCAGAGCACCATATTCTGAGAGCCCCAACGCATCTCTTCACTCACTCTTAATTGAAGTACTGTATTTTCTAAAGCTTCTTTTTCATGCACACAGGTGCCTAACGTTTGAGTGTAGGAGCTTTAAGGAATGGAGAAGCGTATATACAAATGCACAGATGCACTCGCTTGTAAAATGAAGTGTATGCAGTGTTGTGTTTAGTGTGGATTTATGCAATACACGGTGTGTGGTAGTAAAGCCATTCAGAGCCCAGTCTTGATGCACACTGTATTTCCAAGAATATTTGTACCTCTTGCTGTTGTGATTGACGTGAAATGGTCTGATATTAAATGCTCTTTTATTTTTGTTTTGAAGTCATACTAGAAAAAAATGTCAAGAGCAAATGTTGAGGAAAAAACTTGAGCAAGGAAGAAATAATGTCTGTATTTGGGAGTGCTTGTACTGGATGTATGATAAAGACCTAAGTATCAGAATATAATGGCTCCCGAGGCTTGTATTGAATTACAGTGTCTCCCTTCTTTATTATCGCTGTTATTAACGTAGAATGGAATGAGCACATGTGCAGATTACTTCTAGTAGGGCAGCAGAGGTGTGCTTGCAAAGCAGTTTGCTGAAGTACACTCTTGACTTCTTGGATTGCTTGCATGGTATCATTAAATAGAAGTGAGCATTGTTACATACCACATGGAATAGAAAACATTTCCTTTCTATTAAAATAAATGATGTCTTGATTCTGTTTGGCATACAGGTGAAATGGGTCATTGCAGTGTTGGGAGAGGGAGCACTGTCTTAGTGTGTAAATGTGTACCTGTGAGTTACAGCACTGTGTTAACGCAAAGGACCTCCCACTGCAAGCTTGGAATTGTTGGTTAAACTAACAGAATCTGAGATGTATGTGTTCCCTTTTTATCTGTGCTTTAATGTAGTTCTAGATTGAAAATCTGAACACTATTTTAAACAGAAACACTGTTGTATTAGTAACACATATAAGCCCAGATCTAGGTTTTTTATATTCAATTTACTAATCAAAAATCACAAAGGACGTACATTTTTTTACTTCTACTTGTTGGGGTTGTGTGGGTTGGGGGGGGGGGAGTGGAGAGAGGAAGTTCTGCATAGCTAGATAACTTCATTGAAATTAAACTCCAGAGGTGATTATTCTGGTTATTTCTCTTATTTCTCTTTCCTTGCACAGGATGGGAACTGGGAAATCAAGGAGCCTTTTCTCTTTTGTGTCCTTTAAAGGGGCAACTGGGGAACACTCTACGTAGTGTGTCCTTTCACCTCCCTACAGCCAGCATTTAGTGCTTGCTTTGAATCAGGATGGTTCAGTAATAACGAGTAGTAGTCAGACTCATTGGCTAATTACATACCTGTTCCCTTTCTCCCATTATATCAGTATTAAATGAATTGCTGCTTCAAAATTCCTAGCTACTCATTTCATGCTGTGTAGCTTGGGGAATAGGAATACTGGCCTTATCTTTTCTACTATACTGACTTTTTCATACTGCAGTCTTATTTATAAATCATCCTTTTAAATTTTTTACTACGGGCATAGATTTTATTTCTCTCTCGTCCTCACACCATGCATTCATAATACCTATCTGCACTACAAGAAAAATTAAAAAAAATACGCATTTTGTCTTTGACCTGTTACTTAGAACTCAAAAACTCTGGTCCATTAAAGAGCTAAGAAACTATTAGGCATTAGATTTTTTGTTACTTTTCCATAGATTGTAAGAAAGCTAATAGTTGTCAGATTAAAACCAGAATGGTTTATTAAAATTGAGTCTGTTTACCTCGTGGTGATGTTTTTGTATTTGTCAGTATCAAGAAATATTGACAAATGAAGACATACAGGAATTTGGTTTTATATTCAAGATGATTATATAGGACACTGCTCACTTCGAGTGGTAACTTCAGTAGTACTCTGGCCCATTTATCTCAGTATAACAAAACTGATTTAACAAATGTTTTCTAATAGGAGGGTGGAGAGGAATAAATAAGACAATGCTAAAAACTGATTTTAAAAATTGAGCTCTAAGACAGTATATCCTATTTTGAGTTACTGATAGGTGACTCAGTAATGAAATAATTTCTAGCTCTGCTTTTAGAGTAGGCTAAAAATAGTTAGAATGTCAGACCACTGCTCCATTAATGGATCATACCCTTCTTTTAGTCTTATCTTGCTGTTTAAGTACAGTAATGTTGCAAATTCCTCTGCCTATTTTAGCTGTCCAAGAAGCACTTGTATGCCTCTAATCCATAATGATATGCTGTATACTTCTAAATTTCTCTTTCTGATTGTAGAGGAAACATTGTATGAAAATGGGAATGAGAGTTTTCTTTCTATGTAATATGAAATTGAGAAAGTATTGGAAGAAATACACCTTTTTATTCTTCTGAAATTACTGTGCACCTGCCCTCTGCTGTGAGATGTTCCTTACAAGCATGCTAATTAGGGAAGATATTTTTTAAAATGACTTGCAAATAGCAACACTAAATTTTTGGAGTTGAAACCTCTTGGTTATAGGTAAAATAATGTGATCTGGATTTACATTAATATGTTTATTATCCTAAGTAGCGTGGTACTTTTTGTGTAGATAGCACTCTGGAGAAGGGATAGGGTCTCTGTAAAATATGCACCTATTATAAAACAAATATACCTACCATGGCAAATCCAGCACAATGAAAGAAAAAAGAATAGATTGGGGGGTTTTGTACTTAAAAGTTAGGAAAGTTGGAGGCGAGAAGCTATTAGCTTTTTATAGCAAGGAACAAACCAGAAAGACCAGATGATAGATAAAATGATGATATATGTAAAACTAAATTCACCTTCTACTCATGCTGAACTAAATCTTTCTCGGGCATTGCCCAAGCACAGGAGAGGTTTGTAACTAAAAATTACGATTCAAAGCAAAAATAACATTTTCTGAGTGTTTTCTTCATCCTTTGGTCCTGCAGCTGAGACTACAGTGTTGATAAGTGTTGTATCTAGTATGCTACTCCAACCCATAGGTACTGCCAGAAAATACTTCATGGAACATGTTGCACTATGTCACTGCTGAAAAGTGAACATTTCATGAAGTTATTTCAAACTTGGAATTCATAACATCTGAATGCAGGACTAGCAGCCACAATATGTTGTATTGTAATTCCATTTTTGGATGTTGAGCCTGTGTTAGTATTGGACACGTTTTTCTCCTACAACACGAGTATGCCTGGCTTACTTGTCTTGGTGATGTGAGAATTAATCTTCATAAAAGGCTTTGAAGATGAAAAACACTGTGTATAAGAACACTACATGCTCTCTGAGTTGAAAAACAAACTTGTGTCAAATAGGCAAAGAAGAGCAGAAAGGATATTTGCAATGTTTGTTTTCATCATTTAAATATTTTCATTGAGCTGTCTCATGTTGTCCAGAACTAATTAAATCGCTGATGTGAGAAGCAGAAGCAGGATTTTTTTTCCCTTCTTCCTTTAAATCAGTTCTGCTAGTTTACTATAATGGTTTTAGCACAGAGGGACTATTTAATGCAGTCTCATTTAGCGTAGCAGAGAAGTTTCTTCTAAAATTACTTTCTGGTCTTTGCCAATGAGTAAAACTGAAAATAGAACAGGCCTGAGAGGTATCTTCTAAGGATTTATTCCTGACAATTAGTGTCCTATTCATTTCTGCTATTCTGCAAACAAATCCTGGAAATGCAGATCGTGTGACTAGTACAATTAAGTGAGTTGTTTGGGTTTTTTAATTCCAGTATGCCAAGGTCGCTGGCTAGCTGACTCACCAGATGGAGCTGTAGGCTTGTTATTCCTCACCAGATAGTCATCATTCCATCCCTGAACTATGCTATTGTGTGAATCTAATGTATTCTTGTCTCATCATTGAAAAAGGCAAGCCACCAGAATGATTTATCAGTGCATTTGCTGGTCTCTGCTGGGAAAATACTAAGCTTCCATTTATTCTTGGCTCTCGGAGGAGATCACATCATAGCATTCAGACTGATATATTCACAAGGTAGTATGTGACTCAGCAGAATTCTTATGAGACAGATAAAAGTTGCTTGGGCAAGGGTGGCTTAGCAGCATCTTAGAAAAAGAACTTTGAGAAGCAAACAAGCTCTTCTTGAACATGTCAGAGACTGAATTCCTGGGCAGTGTGTAAATCATGAGCCCTTGTCCACAGATAAGGTTAAACTGCACGCGTATATTTTAGGGCCTGATCTCAGAAACTGGTTTATATATGCATGCCTTCATAGTGCAGTGTTGCAGTGCAAGTACATCGGGACAGAAGTCTGGCTAGAAAGCAGCAGCAACAGATTCAGGCTGAGCATATGATGCCATGTTCCTCCTTGTACCTGCTCCCCCAAGATGTCTGATTCCTTCCTAGCATGGCTACAGGTGGTGTTTTTTCAGCTCAGAAAATAGCATCCCAGTTCTGAATATAGAGGGTCCAAACTCAGTTCCACCCTGGTGGGAGAGGATTCATTCTGAAAGCATCCATGATAGGTCATTTGTCTGGTTGCATTAACAGTGCAAAAATCAATTAATTGTGGGAGGGCTGCAGCCCCGACCATGTCTGCTTTGTTGGAGAAAGTACTGTGAGCAGGCAAGCACCTACAGGACATGGAAGAATGTTTTCATAGTTAAGGAATCTGAATATCTACGGGATATGGATTCTTTTCTTGCCTCCATTAAGCTGCCCTCGTAGCTTGTGGACAAGGAGTTTTAAGCCAAAGGCTAAATATAGCTTCTGGTTTTTACTTTCATAGATTGTTTGGTATTATTTCTGCCAGTGGGTAAAACAGATAAATGTTGACAGTTAATAGAGGAGATATTGTTTACTTAGAGAAGTTACATGAAGAAAATTTTAATGTTTTATGTGACAATTGACTACTATAAATGAGGTTCTCTGTAGCAGGCCTACACTGATAGCTTTTGGAAATAGTTTCTAGGCAAACATTACCTGAAAAGCAATTCACAGAAACTGAGCTTTGACAGATACATACTTTTCTGAGGGTATTTAAATAGAGGAGTGACTAGGTAGCAATGGTTCAGTGATTACCAGTACTCAATTTTCTTCTGCTCTCCTGTTCTGCTTTTCAGCTGTGCTCCATCGTGGCACAAGCTGTGATCTCGCTTTGAACAAGGTCACTGCTGGTGAATACCACTACAGGGTGCTATTCCTATCTGACAAAAATAATACCAAGTTTAAAATCTTTGATTAGGTCCTGGTCATCTTTCCCATCTTGTTCAGTTTAAAAAAAAAAAAACAAACTAAAAAACCAAAACAAAACCCCACACCATTTTATTCCTTTGAGGGCCATTAGAAGATTACATGTCAGTATTTCCA